TTTTTTTTTTTTTTTTTAAATTTATTTATTATTATTAAACTTCAAGTTGTAGGGTACATGTGCACAACGTGCAGGTTTGCTACATATGTATACTTGTGCCATGTTGGTGTGCTGCACCCATCAACTCGTCATTTACATCAGGTATAACTCCCAATGCAATCCCTCCCCCCTCCCCCCTCCCCATGATAGGCCCCGGTGTGTGATGTTCCCCTTCCCGAGTCCAAGTGATCTCATTGTTCAGTTCCCACCTATGAGTGAGAACATGCGGTGTTTGGTTTTCTGTTCTTGTGATAGTTTGCTGAGAATGATGGTTTCCAGCTGCATCCATGTCCCTACAAAGGACACAAATTCAGAGACCAGATGTCACTCTGTCTCCCAGGCTGGAGCACAGTAGCACAATCATAGCTCACTACAGCCTTGAACTCCTGGACTCAAGCAATCCTCCTGCCTCAGCCTCCCAAGTAGCTGTGACCACAGGTGCATGCCGCCACACTCTTCTAATTTTGTATTTTTTGTAGACATGGGGTCTCACTATGTTGCCCAGGCTAGTCTCAAACTCCTGTGCTCACGCAGTCCCCTGCCTCGGCCTCCCAAAGCACTGGGATTACAAGGGCAAGCCACTGTGCCCAGCCAAGAGCTGGTGATTTTGATGGCCAAAAGAGCACCTCAAAATTTCACTGTCAAAATCCTGTTCTAAATATATTCACCAAAAGCAACATGAAATAACAATGGAGCTTTCTAGAACCAGCTCGCTCTCCAGAGACTTCTTTCCTGGAGGCAAACTACCTGCTCTGCTTGGCAGCCCTGGGGAGTTCCTGGTCAGTTCCTGCCCCCAGCAACTTCAGAGAAATCACAGCAGAAGGCAAGGAGGAGACCAGAACTTGTCTGAACTGGTGCTCCAGGTCGCTGCAAAGTTTCTTTCATTTCTTTCTTTCCTTCCTTCTTTCTTTCCTTTCTTTTCTTTCTCTTTCTTTCCTTCTCTTTCCTTCTCTTTCTCTCTTTCTTTCTTTTCTTTCTTTCTTTCTCTCTTTCTTTTCTTTTTTTCTTTCTCTCTTTCTTTCTTTCTGTCATTATTTACTTGCATGGCTAGGACATGTAGCTGATCAAGGGGATTGGGGGCCTGCTTTCTCCCCGACAATACATTTTACAGAGAAGCATAAAAACCAAGTGCAAGGGAAAGAAGATATTTCTCTACTTTGTTTCCTTGCTTGAATAATTCTGCTCTTTTTCTATGGGTTGCTTTAACAGTAAACTTTAAATTCTCATTCTCTCTGATGTGCCTTTTCTCAGGACCCTTCACAGGGATCTAAATTCCAGGGATGGGCGCTCACCTCATGCAGTGCATTGGCCAAACTGCTTCCCAGGAGGCAGAGCAGGTGCCAAACCCAACTGGCCAAAGCCCCTAGGGTCGCTTGTTTTCATGGGCAACTGAACATTTTTCCTGCCTAAAGCGGAGTTACCAAGAAACCACCACCAGAAGTCACAGCTCGGAATCCTCATACATGAGGCATCTGCATCTTTGGTTGAGTCTGTATTGTGTCTAAAGAGGACCGGGGGGCCAGCCTTCCACTGGAGGAGTCAGGGGTACCTGCAGCACCAGCAGACAGAGCCTGGAAAGGGCAGCCTGTGCCCCCAGATCCTAGCCACCCCAGGCCAGCTGGAAAGCAGAAGCTCTTTGCACAAACTAGCTCTGCCTTACCTGGGACAGAGCCATGAACAGGCACTACACATCTAGACCCCCAGGCTGTGTGGCCTGACCAGCCAGTCAATAATGGAATGGCAGTTTCTCCAGCAGATTCTGCCCTCTAGGTGTATTAGTCAGGGTTCTCCAGAGAGATGGAACCAACAGGTTAGTAGATCAATCAAAGGATAGGTAGGTAGGTAAGTAGGTAGGTAGATAGATAGATAGATAGATAGATAGATAGATAGATAGATAGACAGACAGACAGACAGACAGATAGATAAGAAGAAATTTCTTAGGAGAATTGGCTAGCGTGATTATGGAGGTTGGGAAATATCGTGAAGGCCGTGCAAGCTGGAGACCCAGGGATGCCAAAAGGATGGCTCAGTCCAAGTCCAAGAGCCTCAGAACCAGAGATGCCAATGGTGTAACTATCAGTCCAAGGCCAAAGGCCTGAGAACCCAGAAAGCTGCTTGGTATAAATCCTCGGGTCCAAAGGCCAGAGAGCCTGCAGCTCTGATGTCCAGGGGCAGGAAAAGAAGGATGTCCCAGCTCTAGCAAAGAGAGAGGAATTCACATTTCTTCTGCCTTCTTGTTCTATCTGGGCCCAGTCAATGGATGGTGCCTGCCCACATAGAGGGCAGATCCTCCCCAGTCAGCCCACTGACTCATAGCCAATCTCCTCTGGAAACACCTTCACAAACACACCCAGAAATAATGCTTTACTAGTTCTCTAGGTATTTATTAATCTAGCCAAGTTGATACCTAAAAGTAACCATCACACCAGGCTTTGCTCTGTAACTTGTGAGCAATATAGATGCCAGGAGAGAACCTTGGAACTGAAGGAGATAAATATAGTTCAGAACGTGTAGACCTCCCTTCTCTGCCTCTGCCTGCTGCAGGCTCCTCTGAGTACATCCCATCTGCTGATTCCCGCCCCCTGCCTAGGTCACTGGCCCACTTCTGGCCATAGTGCCTGAAGGACAAAGGGTATGTCTTACACCCCTCCTGAAACCCCAGAGAGCTGTGCATAAGCTGGTTGCTGGGTACATTTTGAATTAAAGTGGAACAAGTAAGTAACACACAAAGCTAAAGCCGTCAGGACAGGGAAAGGCTCTCTAAGGGGAAATCTGGGTAACCGCATCCTACCCGCGCAGGCACGTGCAGCATCCTGGGACTCTCCCCAGGCCAGGTGAGGGGACCTTGCCTTAAGCCTGACCTGAGGCTACAGGGCACAGAGACAAAGGAATCAGAAGTCCACCTCTCTAAGGACTGGAAAACTGAAGGGAGGGTCTGGAAAGTTCAGTTCAAGACGCACCTCCTGGATCTGAAAGGAGAGATCTGGAGTGAAAGGACAATGGCCAAGCCCCACTATGAGACCAGAAAGAGTATGCGAGGACAAAGCACTCAACTCAAGGGGTCTCCAGGGGCTGCGGCCCTCGGTGGAGAGGAAGCTAGTGAGCATCCGGAGCCCTGTGAAGGGCACAGCACCTGCACTGTTCCTTGAAGGGGAGGTGTGATGTAACCGGTGGAACCAAGGGATGGAAATTCCAGACCAAGGAAACCCAGGGAGGGTGTTGGCAGTCCTGAGTGCTAGGGTCCACTTTCAGGACACTCGCTCCAGATCACGGTCTTGTATCCTTGGAGACTCTCACCACTGCACAGGCCTTGGGAGAACAGAACAGCATCACCAGGAATGCAGAAGCAACAACATCAATGTCCCTGCTGTCTGAACAACCCCACGGTTCTCAAATCCAGTGACTGTCAGCCCGGGAGGTGTGTTTAAAACCCAGGCTGAAAGGTTCCGTCTCACACAGATTCTGATCAAGTAGGTCTGGGGCCCAGGAATCTATATTTTAACATGTGGTCATTCCACTCTAGGCTGGCCTGGTGAACAATGCCAGTAGAAACTGCCTGTACACAGCCGACCAGTAATAGGCACCATGTTATAAACAAGAAGACCCCAGACCACCGTGCCCACCTTAATGTGTCAGTGGATTTGTTGTAGAGACTGAAAATATCCCTTCCCCTGGGGAAGGTGGAAAAGAGCATGACAGGGGTGGACAAGAACGATGACTCTCCATTGGAAACTGGGATAGGGTGAACTCCCGCGTCATACATGGCCTGCAGCCTCCCAGCAGCTGACCCCAGACTGACACCAGCCTGGCTGGGCCTTTGGAGCCTGGGCTTTCTCAGAGGAAAGACATTTTAGGAGGCAAATTTTCCATGAGACTAGTGGAGCTAAGCTGCAGGACGACTCACCCCCACCGTTTTCTTTTTCTTAAAGAGGAATGCCCCCCACCCCAATTGTATAAGCTTCAGACCCCATAAGACCTCGGCCTACCCCGGCCTCAAGCAGAGAGAATCTCCCAAGTGAGCTGAAGTGAGCAACCAGGGTGACCCTCTAAGTAATTAAGAAGTCACAGGGTGGAGGGAGATTCTCAGAAACTGCCCAGGCCCACACGGTCCTCCCAGCATCCAGCTCCCTGCCCGCTGGAGGACGGCTGAGCGTCAGTGTTAGAAGCAGAGAGGCTTTTGCGGCTCTTGCAACGTGATGGTGAATGTTATGTACCAGCTTTTCTGGGTCACTCAGTTGACAGCCTGAACAGAACAAAATGCTGACCCTCTCATCAGTAAAAGGAAAGTTCTCCTGCCTGACTGCCTGGAGCTCGGCCTTCAGTCTTTTCCTGCCTTCAGACTTGAACTGAAACATCAGCTCT